TAGACTGAAGAACAAAAGGAGAGCAACTTGTCTGTTCCCCTTCCCCCAATTTCCCAGCGCTGTTCCCATCCCCCCAACTCCCCAATAAAAATCTTTTTAAAAAATTGGATTTGACAATGTATGTTTATACATAATCTAGTTATCGAATAATAAATTTTAAGTTTTATTGAGATATAATTAATATATATATAACATGCATATATTTAAAGTGTACATTTTGATAAGTTTTGAATAGGTATACACTTGTGAAATCACCATAGCAATCATGATAATAAATATATCAGTCACCCCAGAAAGTTTCCTCCTGTCCATTTTATAATCTCTCCCTTCTGTTCATCTCCATCCCCAATCATCCCCAGGCAAGCACTGATCTGCTTTCTGTCACATTAGTTTGCATTTTCTAGAATTTTATATGAATGGAATCATACAGTATGTACTCTTTTCTATCTGGCTTCTTTTGTTCTGCATAATTATTTTTAGATTTATTCATATTATTACATCCATTCTTTTTTATGACTGAGTAGCAGTCTATTATATCACAATTAGTTTATTTACTTGTCCATGAACATTTGCATTGTTTTCAAATAAAGCCATTACAAAAGAAGCTGCTGGGAACATTTATATACAAGTCTTTGTGTGGACTTATGCTCTCATTTTTCTTGGGTAAATACCTAGGAATAGGATGGCTGGATCATTTGGTTGATGTATGTTTAACTTTTGAAGAAACTGCCAAATTGTTTTCCGAAGTGTTTGTACCATTATACATTCCCACCAGCAGTGTATGAAGAGTTCTAGTTGTTTCACATTCTTGGCACATGATTTGGTCAGTCTTTCTAACTTCCACCATTCCAGTAGCTGTGTAGTATTATCTCATTGTGGTTTTCACTTGCATTTCTATAATGGCTAAGGAGATTAAGCATCTTTTCACGTCCTTATTTACCATCAGTATATCTTTGGTGAAGTGTCCATTCAAACTTGTTTTGCTCCTTTTTAAATTGGGTTGTTGGGAAGCATTTGAGATCTTGTTCCCCGGCATATCAGTTTGGCTCAAATAAACTCTTATAAAAATTCTAAATAAATAAATAAATAAATAAATTGGGTTGTTGGTTTTCTTACTGCCGTGTTTTGAGAGTTCTTATGTATTCTGGATANTTTTTTTTTTTTAACGTAGTTTCTGTTTAAATTACAAAAGGAAAATTCTTTTTCTTTTCTTTTCTTTTCTCTTTTTTTTTTTTTGGTGAGAGTTTTTCAAGAATAAGTGGATATGGCTCTGGTCTCAAGATATCATCAGCGCCCATTTTGTTTCAATGTCACTAAAGTACGATTAATTTTAGAGTGACTCCAAATTTTGGTCTTTCCCCTCCCACTAAAGTTTTTGAGGAAAAAAAACCCTAGTTTTAGCCTCTCTTTCACCTGCCTTTTTAAAAAACTTAATTTGCTTTCTCCATTATTTCATTGAAAGGTAACAAACTTCAAAGCATACCAAAATAGTATGTTGAAATTTTAACTTTATTTTTCTATTATAAAAATAATGCATATCCATTATATCATAAAAGGGGGAGCACAAAAGGCATAAAGAAGTTAATTTTTTAATTACCTATAATCCCATCCCAGGGAAAACTATTAACATTTTGGCATACTTCATCCATCCTTTCCCATGTATTTTTTAATATATGATATTACTATATACTGGGGGTGCCAAAAAAATGTATACACATGACTTGTATTCATTTTTTGTTATTAGTATATATTATTACAATTTTAATAGTTTTTTCTTTTCTTAAAATGTATATACATTTTTTTGGTACCCTCTGTATAAAGTATTGTATTCAGCTTTTTCAACATAACATTATATTAAAATTATTTTTTCTCATATCAATAAAATCCTCTTTGTAAACATAATCGTAAAGGCAGAATAACATTCCATCATAAGGATATACTATAGTTTATTTAAACATTCTCCTAATATCAAATACTTAATAGGAGAGTTAGTGGGTCAAGGCATATAAATGTTACAGCCACTGTTTCCTAGAAAGGCTGTTCTTGAGAACATAGGGAGGAAATACACAGAGCCAGTGAGGTGAGGGGGGTGTCAAGGCCAGCAGCCAGAAGGAGGAGGCTCAGAGGTCCTGGCCTAGCCTTTCCAGCTCATTGAGGAGGAAGTCCATATCAGCCTGGGTCAGTGCAGGGTTGGCCATGACCATACGGAAAAAGTTGCCCCGGGTCCCATGGGGCTGGTAGCCAATCATCATGGAGCCCTCCTTCACCATGCGCTCCTTGAGTACTGGGGCCACCTGTCGAAGGGGTACAGAGAGTGTCCAGTTGCAGCCGGGGGTCAGGAGAGGGGTGGGGTAGCTTCCTGGCCAGCGAGTTACCCAAGATGCATTTCCCTCCCACCCAGCCACCTTCCGGAGGTAGCACTCATTGCTCTGATCCTGACCATAGCCCTAGTTTACTTTCCCACCACATTTAACCTGCTTGGCCTTCTCTACCACCTGCTTTATCCCCCATCCTGCCTATCTCCACGTTGTCACATGGGCCATTTTCTGCCAAATCCTGATTTTTCCATGATTCCCACCACTGCTTTAGTCTAACGTCAAGCCTTAGTCATCCTTAACATCTTCTCCTCCCCTTTCTGAATTACTGTAACATTTTTTATCTGTACCCTGTAATCTAACAAGTATATTACAAGATTGCCTTAAACATATTGGTTTCAAATAGGTAACTCTTGTTTTCTAACTTTTACACTTTAAGAGCAAGAACATTCTTATCCTTTCAGATCATATGCAGCACCTAGTACCAATCTATCCTTAGGGACCTATGACCTATCTCCTCGCCTCCAGGAGGCATGTCTGGGCTGGCCTTACCAGGTTGTTCTGTCCCCAGCATCAGTGACTAAAGCTCTTCCACGATCTTTCTGCCTCACATCTGTCCTGGGCATGAGCTGCCAGCAGAACTCCCAGCACTGAGATCTATATACTGTATACTGGTGACTTCCCCTATAATGCCCCTTTCTATCTTCTTACNTGAGTGTTCATTAGAATCTCCTCCAGGGCTTGTTAATATGGGTGGTTGAACCCCACCGCAGGAGTTTCTGATTCATTAAGTCTGGGGTGGGGCCTGAGAATTCGCACTGCTAACCAGTTTCCAAGGAATGCTAATGCTGTGATCTGGGAACCACACTTTGAGAACCACTGCATTAGAATCCAACGAACCAAGCTGTTGCCGTCCTCCTCCTCCTCCTCCTCCTCCTTCTTCAAAATTATACCTTTTTTATGGTGAGAAAATTAACCCCATGTCAGGAAGGTATCTTCTCCTCATTTTACGTTTGGTTCTTCCACTCATTCACAGTGCTGAGGCTTGTGCAGGACTGGGCTTCATCCAGGCCGCCTCCTCTACCAAAGGCCTTGAGGGCACTTCACTGCCCCGACTCCTGGTCTGGGAAGGGGGCTCCAGCAGAGGGCCGAAGGCACACAGAGCAGGATGCTCTTAGGCGGAGTTGAAGTGGAGCAGGGATGAGTCAGGCTGGAAAGCCTCTCCTTTGTGCAGGCTTTAACCTTGTGGTAGCCTTGTTTTGCCCTAGTACCTAGAGGGTGCAGCAGAGTTGCCCCCGCCCTTCCTCCAGAACCCCTCTACACTGGGGTCAGTGGGGATGTGGGGTGGGAAGTGCCTAGAGTGGGGGTGCGTATACCAGGCAGGGAGGGCCCTGGGGTCACCCTCCTGCCCAGCAGGGCTCTCCTCTCGGGATAGGAACCACCTTGTCTTTCTGTCTGGGATCTCCTCTCTGCTGCCCCATCTGTGACCCCCAAACTCTGCACCCACTCTCTTGCTTCAAACACCTTCCCTCCACCCCTTTGAATTTGTCCAGTCTTCTCTCCAAAACTCCTTGCCTGTCCTGGGACACCCCCGCCCCCCATATAACACCCACTCCACTCTCTGTGGTCCCCTCTGTAATCTGAGCAGTCCAGTGATCTGTGACCTCCAAACACCTCATACTCCCCTGTTTGGAGCTTCTCCCTCTCATATTACTCCTTCATTGCTCTACTGTTTGGAGCCCCCCTCCACTGTTCTAGAACACAGACCTCAAATGGGCATTTCAGCAATATCCAATGATCTTACTCTATCTGGAGGACTCCCTTCCCACTCTCCAAAAGAACATTGCGTTCCTTCTCTCTCCTCCCATTATCCATCTCCAAGTCTACAGATCCCCCCACCACCAACACACATACCCCTCAGCTCTCCTCCAATTTCCTCCAGTTAACTGGAGGAATTAGAATTAGCCCTCTTCACATCAAAGGCCATTTTCTCCTCTCACCATCTTAAACACTTAGTCCCTTTGATGAGCTCCAGGCACCATCCCTTCCTTTCTCCTCTCTCTCAAATTGCTCCCATTATCATCTGGTATGCTCCTCTGCTATGTCCCCCTCTAACTTTCCCTCTCTTCACCCGACATCTTCATCAAGCCGTCCCACCTCTCATCTTCTTGTCAAAGCCAAACTTCTGGAAAGAGTTGTCTGTGCTCACTGTTACTGGTTTCTCACCTCCACTCACTTTTGTGTTAATCATGGGTCTACAAAGGTGCCTCTCCATATTTTCATATGGGTTTTCAGCTCCAGTACCCATCCCTTCCTGTCATTTCTCTTCACACCATAGGGATCCACTCTAATACATGACAAATGTATATGTATTCTTAAAAAANAAGAAAACCCCAGGCCCAGATGGCTTCACTGATGAATTCTACCAAACACTGAAAAAAGAACTGATACCAGTTCCAAACTTCCAAAAAACAAAAGAGGAGGGACCACTTCCGAATTTATCCTATGAGGCCAGTATTACCCTGATACCAAAATCAGACAAAACATTACAAGAAAACTACAGACAGTATCTCTTATGAATATAGATATAAAAATCTAAAAACCATTAGTAAACTGAAATCGGCAACATATGAAAAGAATTATACACCATTACAAACTGGGATTTGTTCCAGGACTGCAAGCTTGGTTTAATATCCAAAAATCTATTAACGTAATACACCCTATTAATAGAAAAAGGAGAAACAAACAAACAAAAAAAACGTATCTCAATGTGGTCTATTGATCATCTTAATAGACACAGAAAAACACTTGATAAAAACCCAACACTCCTTCCTGATAAAAACATTCAACAAACTAGGAATTGAAGGGAACTTCCTCAACCTGATACAGGGCAACTACAAAAACCCCACAGCTAACACTGTATTCGATGAAACACTGAAAGCCTTCCCACTAAAACCCGGAACAAAACGAGGGTGCCCACTCTCTCTACTTCTATTCAACATTGTACTGATGTTCTAGCAGGGCAATTCGGTAAGAAAATAAAATAAGAGGCATCCAGATTGAAAAGAGAAAAAAATCTCTATTTATAGGTAACATGGGGGCCGGCCAAGTGGCTTAGTTGGTTAAGAGCTTGCTCAAGAGTGCAAGCTCTGAGCAACAGCNATACTTTGTATGATTTGAATTGTTTAAAATTTACTGAGACTTGTTTTATTGCCCAGAATGTGGTCTATCTTGCAAATGTTTAGTGTGTACTTGAGGAGAATGTGTATTCTTTTATTGTTGTTGTTGTTGTTGGATACAGTGTTCTATAAATAAATATCGATTAGGTTAAGTTGTTTGATAGTATTGTTTAATCTTCTATGTCCTTACTTTCTACTTGTTCTATAAATTATTGAAAGAGAGGTGATGAAATAATTGTAACGTTTTCTATTTGGTTTTAGTTTCACATATTTTCAAAGCTCTCTCTTTTTTTTAGAATTTTTTTTTAGAATTTGTGTAAAGGTTTTTTTGAGCCAAACTGATGACATATGCTGGGGAGCAAGATCTCAAATGGTCATCAAAGCTTTTTTATATGTACTTAAACATTTAGGATTGTTGTGTCCTCTTGATAAATTTACCTCTTTGTCACTATGAAACAGCCCTCTTTATTCCTTGTGAGATACTCTGCATTGAAATCTACTTTGTCTGATATTAATATAGCCACCCCAACTTTCTTTTGATTAGTGCTAGCATGCTCTATCTTCTTCAATTGTTTTTTTTTAACCTGTATGTCTTTATGTTTAAAATGGGTTTCTTATAAGCAAAATATAGTTGAGTCTTGCTTTTAAATCCCATGTGATAGACATTTGCCTTTTAGTTGGGATGTTTTGACCATTTCATTTAATATGATTATTGATATAGTTTAAATCTACCACCTTTCTATTGTTTTCTATTTGCCCCACTGATTTTTGTTCCTTTCTTTTTCTTTT